CGCCGAAGCGAGGCGAGCGCATGAAATGCAGAAAAGTACCAAGAGCGTTTGTTAAGCTGAAACCCAAGGTGTGCGTATGTGTACATCAAACTTTTATCTGAGATTTCTTGATGGGAGCCGACAATCTATGATGTTGCATGGCCTTTTGTCTTCTCCGTCCCCCGGGTCTTATATCTCAGAACATCATGCCAACGACGGGCGCCATTCATCCCATGGATGGAAGGGACTGCGAAGCCAGGACGGCTGGAAGATGCAGGCGGGAATGCGGCCGGCAGAAAGAAAGGCACAAGACAGATCCAGAGAGCACGGACCTGAGAAAAAAAGACGACGTCAGCCGCAAGTGCATCGCCTCAGCATCGCCTCAGCCGAAGCGCACGGCACGGCCCGAGCAACTTCGAAGTGCAGCCGAGCAGGGTGAGGACACCCGACCAGCATGGAGTGCACCCTTTTGAAGGTGACACGTTATCGCCGCTGTCAACATGTTGCTTCGTTAATGGCATCCGAGCACACGAGCGCGGGCAATGTCAGTGTCTTGTGATCACGGAATGCAAGATTCCCAACGGCACCTCCACCCGGGAGCACGACGACAACATGCAAACCTCAGTTTCATGCAACACGCCGGAAAGTGGGACTATTGCGGAAATTGCTGTGCGGAGCTGGGACGGCAACAGGTAAACCTCGTAGACATAATTGAACATTGCTATTGACGGCGAGAACACAGGCCTGACATCGCAGTAAGACTCCGGCTTCTTGGATTGGCGGCGGGAACAGCTGATACCTGACAATATCGCAAAGTCAGACCTTACCAACGGCACAAGCTCTCTCACGAGACTCGCAGGGTCCCATAAACCCACATGTAGGCCAATCTCCAGCTCACTGTAGCTCAAATGCTCATCCACGCTTCTCACGAGCTGGTTGGCTTGCTCAAGGACCACCGGACAGATATGGACACTTTACGATGCAGTACTCAACAACAGAACCTGGCACGGCAAGCAACAAACCTATCCGATGCAGCTTTCCAAAGACTACAAGTCGATCTTTCTGCAACATCCTCCGCAAATATTTCAACAGTTGTGCCTATAGAGCCAACCATGTTGCCTTGGTTCTCCGAACATCGGTTGGCCAGTCGGCGACGACGTCATCAGCGTAGCACTGGCCTTGGGACTGGCATGAGGCATTCCACACAGCGGAAACTCAGCATCGTTCCTCCTTCGGTGAGAAGCTCGAGCATGAAGTTAGCGACTAGTCTTAGTCTGAGGGTATGCTTGCATCCTGCAGGTGTCGACAGATGCGAAGTTGCTACAAATCTCTGCCTCCAGCCGGCCTTCTCCACACATCTTTACACTGAACTGAATGAGACACAGCTTAAGAGTTAGAATAGTCCAGAGCTCACATGGGGCCCTCTTCAAATCGAGGCCCACGCCGCGATGCACAAGGGTCTGATTTCTGCAACCGAATGTTCTGCGCTGCTAAAGGATAGCCTGCTCGTCCCAAGACATCTCTTGCAAGCGCCCCTTGCACACGCTTGGCACGCTGGCCGTTGGGCGGAGCAGGTCGACTCCAACCCAGGCACACCTCCGCCAACAAGGGCAAGACGATCGACAAGATTGCACCAACGGCCTATCGCTCTTCCAGAATCGCAGAGTAACGCAGATTTGCTCTTTAACTTGCCAGTCACATGCAGGGTCCGACCTTGATCTGCGGGCACGTTGATGGGCGAGTCCTGAAGAACAACCAGAAGCCGAGCTTTCACGCCCCACTGCCGTCCGTGTGAATGCAAGCCAAGTCGATCGCCCTTGGCGAGATGCCGATGTGCAAAATGCCGCTGAAACCATGCGACCGGCCTGTCCATCCCTCCATCAAACGAACCTGCACAGCCATTACATCTTCGAAATGCCGCCGGTGACCTGAAACAAGATGGCCTGGGCAGGTGCTGCACTGGACAGGTGGCCATCTTTGCTCGGAGAGTTCACCGATGTCAAGCCAGATGGCATATGAATGACCGAGTTCCTCAGCTATCACGAAACAGTCAACCAGCTCAAGGGGTCCCTTGCACCACCAATGCAGTCAAGCTGCCTTGCTGGCAAGGGCACACCAGCCTCAACGAAAAACGAGGCTGAATGTTTCATGGAATTCAGCGATGGTATAGACGGCGAGAGGGCAATACATGGTGACACATAGCTCTCGCGCAAGCTTGTTCTGTCTAACAGCCTTAAGAGCATCATTTTACGCGCGACGCCTCATCATGAAGAGACGCGGCGGCTGGCCCATGGGTGGCTCTTTCAGTGAACCTGGGCTTTTGGTTGACTTGGGCAAAGAACTGCGGATCATACACCAATGCACAGATGCTTTACATGAACTGGGTTGGCTGGTTGAAGACTCGAGTCTTGAGGAAGCAGTGACCGGTGGCATGGATGTGGATAATGCACTTGTGCTGAACAAAATCTCGTGCGCGGCGTCTCACGAGAACGGCATGTGAAAACTGTGGCCAGCTGACGCCTGAATTCCACTTGAAGAAGTCGCCGCCACGGCGGGTGAAACAAGCAAGTCTAACACCAGATTTAACTGGTTCCCAGCGTGCCAAGTGCTTTTCACTTGGTGGACTTTTGTAGGCCAAAGAAAGAGCACCAGCTGAGGCTGGGCCTACCTCAGACCCCAGCTTCAGCTGGTGCTACGGTTGACCTACACCAGTGGACCTGGTAGCTACAGAGCGGGAAGCTCCACATGGCCGAATGGCCTGAGTTGAAAGAAGCTGACGTGCGAATGGCACGAGGAAAGAAAGGAATGGATGAAGAAAGGATAAAGAGAATTATTCAAACGGTGACAATGGCTGTATTGGTTGGATTGGGTGAAACGACCCAAGAAGAAGGAAAGGAAGCAGAAGAAGGACTGAACTGTGTCATGGTGTGCATGCTTATAGTGATGATACTGACAGCAGCTTGCATGTGCATGTTGTGGAAACCAATATGTGCCGCAGCCGTTTTCCTCAAGAGGAAGATAGGAAAGAAGGTGATGACCGAAGGGTCTTTGGCGAAAGAAAAGAAAAAGAAAGAGAAGAAAAGAATCGAGGAAAGAGGAAAGATGTCCGCAGCGAGCGGAGAGGAAAAGAAGGAAGAACAGCCGGAGCTCCGGTAGAGGGCCCAACAGAGCTGACGAAAGAAGAGTATGTGCAAAGGCCGAAAGATGTCATACTTAACAAGTGTGAAACGATAGAATCAGTTGAATGGAAACTTATGGCTCAAACGGAGCCAGAGCGATCAGTTCATAGACCTGCAGACGTTGAGGCTAGAAGTCTCAAGACTTAATGAAGAAAGATGAACACACAAAGCAGGTGAAGCAGAAGAGGAAAAGGAGAAGGTCGCCGAAGAAGTGACAACAATGATGAAGCTGGAAGTGACCCAAGCAGCAGTGAGATTGGAGGTGATGAAACAGAAGACGCCGCAAAGAATGATGAAGATGAAGAGGAGAAGGAAGGTGAAGAAAAGAATGAAAATGCGGATTGTGAAAAGAAAAAATCTTCTTGCAAAGGAAATGCAGAGAAAATAAATGGAGAAAAGGAAGGAAGAGATGAAAGAAATGAGAGAGTCGGGGAAGTTTGCAAGTTCTCTAGTGTAGATGCTACACATGAAGGAGCGCACTCACTCTTT